TTCCCCTCTAGTTTTGTATATTTGGCTATTTCCTTGGGAAATTTTCTCAAAAATGTTCACAGAAAGATAAAAGATTACAAATTATTTTTTATGTTTGATTGAATGTTGCAGTGCCCTCCATGAAAAAGAAAATGAAGATGGCATGGAAGATGCTGCACATACACATGACAAGAAGCAGCGAATGTCGCGGTCAAAGTTTTTTGTGGTTGCACTAACATGTAGTTTCTGCTGGTACTTGTTCCCAGGTTACTTCTTCCAAACACTTCAAAGCATCTCATGGGTGTGCTGGGCATTTCCAAACTCAGTCACTGCCCACCAATTAGGTTCAGGCTTTAGTGGTCTAGGACTTGGAGCTCTCACTCTGGACTGGTCAGCAGTAGCATCCTTCTTGTTTAGCCCTCTCATTTGCCCATTCTTTGCCATTGCCAATGTCTTTGTAGGCTATGCCTTGATCATTTATATAGTCATTCCTATCTCTTACTGGGGGTTTAATGTGTACAATGCCAAAACATTTCCAATATTTTCGGCAGACTTGTTCACTGCACAAGGTCAGGAATATAACATTACAAATATTGTCAATAATAAGTTTGAGCTGAATCAAGAACAGTATGATATTCAAGGAAGAATCCACTTGAGCATGTTCTTCGCTCTCACGTATGGATTTGGATTTGCCACCATTGCATCTACACTTACTCATGTTGCCTTGTTCTATGGAAGGTAATGCTTTTCTTTATTTATTTGTATAAAGTTTGGCTACTTACTTTATCTCAAATGTAGTATGTCACTAGTTTTATGAATCTTTTATTTCTTTCCGACAACTAGTTCAGGTCAGTTATGAAAATCAGAAATATAACTTAGTAGTTTGATTTCTAAAGTTTTCTAATTCACCAGATTTTCTACTTACCCTTCCTCCAGAAATGATAGATTTCTCCAACATGATCCCGAATCTTTGAAACGAGGGCTCTTTTCTGGTTTTCTAGTAATCTTATATGGTAATAACCTTGCAGCTGAATAATGTCTTGTTCATCCTGTGAGAGTCAATCCTTCCTTAACATCGGCTTAGCCTTTTTTTTTTTATTGTTATTATACATTCTACTACTTAGATTCCTTCCAACGAAGGATTAGTCTTAATCTCCTGCTAAATCTTTAAAATTCTAAAAAATTATCACCAACGGTCTAAAACTTTTCAATCTTCAAATTTTTTTTAAACGCTCAGTTTGACCTTCACTAAATGTCACAAAAGCTCGCTGATCTTTTGTTAAATCCGCAAGTATATGATCTCCAACAAGTTCTTATGCACGAAATCATTCTTATTGTTCATCACTCAGCGGTCAGCACTAAACCATTCTCTTTGTTCATAAGTGACTTTACTATGATGGATAGATCACTTGACTTCCATTTGTTTCTTAGCTTTTTTTCTTAATCTGTATAACATTAAGAATTCTTAATGTTATAGGGAGATTTATGACCGATACCGAGCTTCTTCTAAGGGAAAGGAGGACATTCACACAAGACTGATGAAGAATTACGAAGACATACCTGCCTGGTGGTTTTACTTGCTTCTTGCAGTGACAATGTTGGTTTCACTTGCACTCTGCATCTTCTTTAAAAAACAGGTTCAGATGCCTTACTGGGGACTTCTATTTGCAGCTGCCCTTGCTTTCATATTTACCCTTCCCATAAGCATTATTACTGCCACCACAAATCAGGTAATTTCACAAAACTCAAAGGTTATCTGCTCTCTCTCTCTCTCTCTCTCTCAATATGTGAGATGAGAAAGTACTTGAATTAACACCGACTCAATTATAATGAAAGTTTTTACGTAAGTTCAGTTGGGTTCAATTACTGTTTATTTCAACTTTGTCTCAGACACTAGTAGCCCTGTTAATCACCGAAGTAACGCTCTTATAAATCAATGTTCTAATGCTTTCTTTGCAGACTCCGGGGCTTAATATCATCACAGAATACATAATGGGTCTAATATATCCTGGAAAACCAATAGCCAATGTCTGCTTTAAGACTTACGGCTATATGAGCATGACTCAAGCAATCTCCTTTCTCAGTGATTTCAAGTTAGGCCATTACATGAAGATCCCTCCAAGGTCAATGTTCTTGGTTCAGGTAAGATCCTGCTTCTCTGTTGTAACCTCAAACTTATTAAGTCTAAAAAATCTTGAAAAATCGTGTCACCATCCAAAATCTTAAAAAAACTAGGCCTATTTGGTTTGCGTCTTAAAAAATTGATTTTGGAAAGAAGACTGTTTTAGAAAACTGTTTTTAGTGTTTTTTTGTCGCAAAACTTGTTTGGTTATATGATTTCAAAAACGATTCTACGAAATAGAAAATATTAAAACTTGTTTGAACAGTAACACAAAAAAGATAAAAACATAAACATAGTGATGGTGGTGTGACGGACATGGTGGTGAGAGTGTGATGGTGGAAGTGTGGACGTGTTGTTAGTGGCGTTTTGTGTGGGGGACGTGGTGACTGTGTTGGTGGTGGAAGTGTGGGGGAGTGTGATGGTGGCGGTCAAAGCGTAATTGTGGTGGTGGTGGTGGTGGTTGAAGTGTGCTGAACGTCGTGGTGGTGGTGGTAGTGATGCTTTCTAAATTATGGAAAGGTTGTTTCCAAAAATATACAAACCGTTCTAATTTGTACTCTAAATCTACTCAATTTTTGTTCTCAATTTCAAAAAACAAAAACTAAAAACAACAGTGCAAACAATTTTTGAGATGTATACTAATTAAGGCCCAAGTTTGATCCAGTCATAGAATGAGTGATTCAGATAATCTCACAGCGTAACAAATTACCATTGTGAAGTTTACTTGATGGCTGCAAAACAAAAAGGAAAAGAAAAAAGATAAAACCCAAGCTTTCAAGACATAATCGGACATTTTTGCACAAAACATCACAGTGTTTTGGAAATATTGAGATTGAACTTCATGACCAATGTTTATTAATCGCACTCTAGCTTCTTGGTCTAATTCTTGCATTTGCATTTCAGTTTCTAGGAACCATCATAGCAGGAACAATCAATCTCAGTGTTGGATGGTGGCTGTTGGACTCAATTGACAACATATGCCAGAAGGATAAGCTTCCATCAAACAGCCCTTGGACATGCCCCAGTGACCGTGTCTTCTTTGATGCATCTGTCATCTGGGGCTTGGTTGGTCCCAGGCGGATTTTCGGCCCTTATGGCAACTACCCTGCTCTCAACTGGTTCTTCCTTGGTGGAATATTAGGACCAATTGTAGTGTGGCTGGCACACAAGGCATTCCCAAAGCAATCCTGGATTCCCCTCATTAACCTTCCAGTACTACTTGGAGCAACTGCCTATATGCCACCAGCAACAGCATTGAACTATAATTCATGGATTTTGGTTGGGACAATATTCAACTTCTTCGTCTTCAGGTACCGGAAGAAATGGTGGCAGAGGTATAACTATATTCTTTCGGCAGCTCTGGATGCTGGGGTGGCTTTCATGGCGGTTTTTCTTTACTTCACTGTGGGGATGGAGGACAGAAATGTAAAGTGGTGGGGTACTGATGATCCTGAGCATTGTGATTTTGCAAGTTGCCCCACAGCCAAGGGTATATCAGTGGATGGTTGTCCTACTTTCTAGTTCTCATATTGTCCTACTCTCTAAACCTTATTTGGATTTGGTTGTTGATGTTTACACTTCACACTGAAAGTGGAAGCAGTGTAAAAATGCTTGAAGAAACACAGAATAGATGCCTTATAAGATGCTGGAACCACTTAAAAAGTTGTTATTAGCTGTTTCTTTGAGTCTATACTTGTGGAATTTAGTTTGGTTTTCATGCTTATCTTGTAAACTAATTGAAACTTTGCTATATAAATGAACAATACAGAATCTTTATTTAGTGGAAATTAATTCATGCTAAAGGCTTTTGGTAGCCTTTGTTACTGGCTAGACAGGTTAGGGAGGTATAGTGCACCATGGGCAGCAGCAGGAGTATTTGTTGGCGGGCGTGCCTATCACACCCGTCAGTCGTGCCTTGCATTGCGATAGCGATAGTTACACAACTCGACACGCCAATGTTGTAATATGAGCATGACAATGGTACTCTTTGCTAAAACCGAAAATTGAACACTAGAGACTGTTGAATGTTCAATTTTTCAACCTAAGAATTATTTGGTATGTTTTATACCCCACTCCCACCCAACACGAAACGCTACCCCACACCAACCACCACCATCACCAACATACCACTACCTTACCACCAACACTGTTGTTGTCGCCAAAACCATCTTGACTGTCGCAACCAAATATCAGGGGAACAGCCCTGAACCCCCGTTATCCTCTGTCATCAAGTGGGAAGAGTGAAACTTGACAAATTTTGCAGTTACTAAGCTGTCGGGCAGCCTTCAAAAATGACTATTGCATCTATGCTTTGCTACGATTATCAAGCAATAATTGAAAGCCGAAGTAAAATCATACGTAAACATCTAAAAACCTCAATTTCAGATTAATCAACTTGCATTGAAAGAAAAAATTGAGATATTTTGGGCTAGGCGTTGCCAGTTGGTAATAGCCAAAGGCAAAAAAGGGAGAGATAGGGAAGAGGAGATTAAGGATGATCACTCTACTTCATAGATAGAGCAAATAGAATCTTCTTTCATTTTCAATTCCATTAGGATCGGAAAGGGGGACTTTTGGTATGAAAAACTATGATGCCGATAATATTCGTCAAATTAGGAAGGGTATCAATTCCAAAAGATTATGAGATAAGACAGACTTTGCTACTGCATCAACATAACCCTTCCTACGCTCAAAACAATTAGGTTCCAACAGATTATTTTTTGTAGACTAAATTTATGGGTCTAGCACGTGAATTTTTTTTTTAATAATTAAGGTCACAGCGAGATTCAAACATAAGACTTCTCAATCTGATATCAAATTAAACAATCATTTATTTCAAAAATTTAAAGCTTTGGATAGTATATAACTTAAATATTTATACTTCAATATAAATGACCAACAAACAAATGAAATATATTTCTTACAATATCGTACTTGTAAATTAACTTACATATACACCACCTTTCTTTCATGCAACAAAAATATTTATAGGATCACACCTGTCATAGTTCATTTGATCCTTGCATTGATTTCGATGAAGGTGCGGCATATCTAGAGGAAAACCCACGATAAGAGGAGTCCTCGTTACCATCATCCCAGCAACTCTCGTCGAAGTTTTGAGCATAGCTTAAGGCGTCATACCTGAAACCACCAACTTGTCTTGTTCCTTTGGATTTGCGAGTAACATTTCTGTAACTAACCCTCACATTTCTTTGCCTTGTATGACTTCTTTTTCTTCTTTTCCATGGAAGCATTAGTTTGAGACGTCCCCAGCACGAAAACAACCCTCCTCCTCCTCCTCCTCCTTCTTCTTCTTCTTTATCATCATCTTCTTCTTTTGCGTTGTCTCTTGCAGAGGAATATTTCTCCATAGCTTCAAGTTTTACAGAAAATTTTCCAAAGTATAACAAAATGTAATAGTATTCTTCATAGAAGCTTTGGGGGGTCTGATCTCTAGCCTCTTCCTTTGTTGTTTTCTGTTAAAACCTCAACGTGTGGTGGTAGGCAAGAAAAACAGATATCGTAAAGGTCCTATGGTCACTGTGCTTTTGTTCGTTACCTTCTGTTTGTGTGTACGAGAGCCAGAGGAAGTATAATGATTCTCAGTGTCACATCCAAATTAGGTTAATTTTTGGGCTACAATACAATGGGAAAGTCTATGTACCCAAATCAAAAAATGGGTAACCTATCGTTGATTACTAATTTTTAAGATAAAATTATAATTTTAAAAAGAGAAGTTATAATTATTTTAAAAGAAGGTTATGATCGATTATGACATCTATAATCGATCATAAACTCGCAGTATCAATTATAATCTTCTATGATCAATTATATCTTTTAAAATTATAATTTACACCTCAAAAAAATTATAATTTAGCCTTAAAAAATTATAATTTTCGATACGATATCAGTATCGTATCAAAAGTGTCTCAACGAATAATTGTCCTAATATCATTACTCCAATTCTTTTAGATTCAAATCTTTTCAATATTTTTCGAGCACCGCTAAAGAAACCTAATTTATTGATATAATTTATTATAGTCATAGTAGTGGATCTCATCAAATATTATAATTTGTCAATGATTACAATGAAGTCGAATTATTATTTTAACAAATTAAATTAAATTTTTACATCCTAATAACATTAATCATTTTTTTTTTTGTTCTAATAACTCACTTACATGAGTCTGTCTTAAATTTAGGAGAACTGATTTATCAAGAATAAAAATAAAAAATAATATATTAAACAATATCTCACTTTCATCCTTTTCTCCTGATTTTTGACATACCAAGGAAGATCTTGTTTACATTACTATAGGCTGCTCTCGCTGTCCTGCACGCCGTGACTAAAAAATATTCAACGTAACAGTTATATATCATGTTAATAATATTATATAAATAATTATTTTTAATAAATAAATAAGTGAATCCCATAAAATTACAATAATCATTCATTCAAGTAATATGTAATTATTTCTATGTAGGATAATGGGATCCATTTTATTTATTTTTTAATTTTTGCATTGAATAATTAAATCCCATGACAATACTAAAATAGTATAACCGTTATGCCCAATGTTTACTCTTACTTGACGCACGAAAAATTAGATTTTTTTCCTCTCTAAGTTTCCCTTTTTCTACTTTTTAATATTTGATAATGAAATACCAACCTTGGCAATTTGTCCCAAGTTTGTTGGCTGAAGTGCTCATATGAATGAGTGCTTTGATCGAAAAATTGACAATCAGAGAGAAAGACTTCCGAAGAATTTAAATTAAAACTCAGAAAAAAAGAAAGCAATTATTTGAGATAGGGATTGTTCAAGTAAAGATGATAATACTAATATTTAAGCTAGATGGTGATAGTATTATTTCATTTTCTTAGTAAACATAATTGAGTAATATCATAAACATTTTACCTAATTTATTGACTTGTGATATTAATGTACTCCAATAGTGTTATTATGATTGTAACTCTTAAATTTTTTCATTAAGACTCTACTATTCGACAGTAGTGCTCCGATTGGTAGGAAGGATGGAAAATAGAGAGGATAGAAAGTAGCAGGGATACAATTTCTATCCTTCAAGGAAAGAAAATAAGAATTATACACTTTATTTCTTTTGTGTTTAGTTGAATAGATAGAAAATAAAAATGACTAAATTATTTTTTTTTTAGTGTTAACTAAGATTAGGGATGACAATCGAGTTGTGTCGTGTCAGATTCGTGCTGAGTCATTATGAGTTTTTGTCGAACATTACTCACACCTAACTCAACTCATTTAATTAATTATGTCATGTCGAGTTACGAGTTAACCTGTTTATTTTCGTATTCAAGTTAATCAAGTTCGTGTCAAAAAATTCATGTCAAGTTTGAGTCGGGTCATCGTGTTGAGTCAAAAATTTTCACCTCTAGTTAAGATGAAAAAAATATTTTTTTAATTTAATTTTTTTTATTTTTTTTTATTTTTTTAATATATATATATATATATATATATATATAAATACATATTTTATTATTATATTTTTTGTATGAAATCAATTTATACATAATATATATATATAAAGATATATAGACAAATAAAATATATCTCAATACAAATAATTAACTTTTCATCCACTTTTCTTCCGATTTTAGAGATATTGATCTGGGTGAGTTGGAAGAAAAGTTAATTCATCCACTTTTCCATCTTTTTTATTTTCCTTCCTTACCAAACATGATGTTTTATTTATCCGTCCAACTTTCTATCCTTTCAACTTTTCATCTTTCCATTTTTTCATCATACCAAATGGAGCATAAGTCCGTCAATGGATCGGGTTTGAATCGAATTTTGGCTCATTCGAATTCGAATCCAATTTTAAAAGTCTGATCTGATAATTTGACGAATTTTATTTTCGTAGTCCATATCCGAATTCGATAGCAATTCAAAATCCGATTCTGTTTGAATAACTTAATTAATTAAATTAATTAAATTTTAACAAATTATATCTAAGTTTCAACTATATTTCTTTAGATAATCACTTATTTTTTAAAAATATTTATATAAAAATATATAAATAATTCTGCTTGGATCATAATCAAATCGAATATAGGTATATCCAAATCCAAATCCGTAAAATATAAGATATCAAATTCAAATTCGAATTCAAATTATTGATAAAAAATATTAATCTATATATGGCTAATCAAATTCGAAATACAATTCAATCTATTGATAGGCCTACTTGACGTGTCATTATGTCAATAAAGTAGGAATAACGAGTCCCTAAAGACACGGTGCAATATAAATAATTTTGAGAGAGATATTAGTGACCATTAAATGAGTCTATTTAAAACCGTTAAATAAATTTATTAAAATCTATTCTATTTTATATTATAAATTTTATTTTTAAATTAAAATAACATTGCTCAACATCATAACACAAGTACAATCTTTTTCGTCATTGTAGTAGCATTGGCAAAGAATCCACGAAAGTTTTTGGACCGTTGGGGCGTAGCTTTGAACAATTCCTTAGTTTGACAAAGAATTCGCGATGCAATTACCTTATATTAAATAAGTTTTTCCCCCAAACTTTTATGAATTTTCCTAGAAACCCCCTTGAAATTCTGTCGAAAGAATTCACCTCCCAAGCCTAAATCCTAGTTCTGTTCCTACCCTCAAAAGATAAGAACACCCGAGCAAAGAGGAAAGAAATGAAAAGAAATTTTGGGCTTAATTTTTCAACTTACATAGCATTAACCATGTGTGGGTCTATGAGATTAAAGACACTAATTTCTTCATTACAGAACAACTGCCAATTTCAAGTTGTATTTTCTGTCATGCTGATCTTAGTTTACTTTTTCACAAGACCTAATAAGCATGAAAATATGGGAGAGGGGAGGGAAATGAGTATCGAACCCGAACCGACATGCCGGGATTCACCCAGATACCACTAGGCCATCGCGTCCCCTCATATTCATGCCAGTTTATAAGTGTACAGCTCTTTTACTCTAACATGAATATCACTCCTTTACAAATGATCTGTAGAATGAAACATGTGATGGTTAGGTTAAACAATAATAGACACGCTAAAAGGACAAGCAATGAACTACATCAGCACCAATCATCCTGTTACAGAACTCATTACTCTATCATAGTACAAGCAATTATCATCACAAGAGTTGCAACTGGTAGCACAGAAGCAACCTCGAATCAGCATACATAGCGTATAGATAACAAAGAGACGCACAAGAATATATAACCGATCATCGAGAATCATACATGCCAGAGAGAGACCCAAGTATGTATACAAGGTCATAAATTTACAAAAAATGTTTAAAATCCAAACAGAGTGAGAACCCTTAAGTGAACTACATCACAAAATTGTTATGAGAGGAAAATAAGCTTGATAAAGTTGATAAGAAGAGCTTACACTCTTAAAAGTTCATCGATGGTGAATAATCCAAGCAAATGGAACCGAAGAAAGGCACTAGTCATGGGTCATCACAAAGCAAGTGACAGCATGCATTGCAAGCTACATCTTGACCACCACCTTTTCAGCAGAACTTTTCTTCACGACTCCTCGGGAGCATAACTCATTCAGTAAATCCAAAGCCTCATTGGCTAAACCTTCATAAGATAGGCCTTCAATCAGAATTGTATATGTAGTTTCAGTAGGTTTACATCCCTTTGATACCATATGAGCCAAGAAGTCAATGGCACGATCCGTCTGGCGAGCTTTGCAAAGCCCCAACATGACAGAATTGTAGGTGACGGCATTGGGCCTCACACCCAATCCTTCTAACTGATTGAAGAACTTGATAGCTTCGTCTACCTTTCCTTCTCTACTAAGCCCTCCCACAACCGAAGAGTAGGTAATTATATCGGGTTGGAGACCCTTTCCTCGCATCTCATCCAACAGCTTTAGAGCACATTCTGTTTTTCCCACCTTTGAAAGACCATCAATCACTGTATTGTAAGTGATCAAAACAGGAGAGCAATTTTTATTACTAAGCTGGTTAAGGATCTCAACTGCTACATCAACTTTTCCATCTTTGCATAAAGCTGTGAGCAAAGTATTATAGGTCACAATGTCAGGGTAGCACCCTCTGGAGACCATTATCTCCAAATACTCAATTGCCCTGTCCATCTTCTTTTCTTTGCAAAATCCATGAAGCAGTGGATTGTAACTCAGGGAATTTGGAGTACAACCATGCTTCGGCATTTTCTCCAAAATATCAATGGCTCGGCCCAATAACCCCTTCCGACACAAGAAATTTATCAAGATGTTAAAGGTAACGACACTGGGAGAACAGCCTTTTCGAAGCATCTCCACTAAAAGTTTCTCAGCATCCATCCACCTCCCTGTGCTACACATGCTACGCAAAATGATATTATGGGTAATTACATTAGGTTGGCAACCATAAGACGGCATATTATTCAAGAATTTGATTGCTTCATCCAACCTCCCTTCCTTGCATATCCCATTGATTAGGACATTATAGGTAACTACATCAGGCTTGCAACCCTTTCTATTCATCTCATCCAAAAGCTTCATTGCCTGCCCCACCCCACTTTCCTTACAAGTCGCTTCAATCAAAATTGTATAAGTGATCACATCAGGATAGCACTCTTTTAGCAACTGCTGATCAAGAACTTTCATTGCTTGCTTCAATTTCCCACCATCACACAATGTTCGCAAGATCGTATTATATGTGACAACATCCGGGGCAACACTCATCCGGTCCAATACCTTTAAAGCATTATCTATCTCCCCCGACTTACAATACCCACTAATCAACACATTGTAAGTTATAACATCAGGAACAGCCCCGGATTCCTCAAGAATCTCCATAACCCTAGTTGCCTTCTTAGTCTTACCAATCCGACAAAACCCCCGAATTAAACTAGTACATGGAATGATATCGGGAATGTCACCGCGATAAACCATGTTTTCGAGATACTTAAACCCTTCCTCCAATTCTCCATTTCTAACCAACCGACGGAGATGTTTATTACTCTCAAACTCTTCAAAATTATGCGAGGAATGCACTTCACTCGAGGATAGAAGGCCCCCACTAAACTGCCCTTGAGGGTTTCTCTCATTACTTGACAATCGACCATTAGAGCTAAAATTTTCAATCTTTGAAACAGCTAATACCCGATTTCGCCTCTGTTTCGGAGACCCTCCTTGTTTTTTACACTCAATACCATTACCAACAGAGAGAACAGGGAAGCGAGCTTCGCGACCTACAAAGACCTTCCCGGAACTGAAATTTGAAGAAAACCTAACCCTAGCTCTAGACCTCAAAGTATGATTCTTTTTGCTATCCCTATGAATACAATGAAATGAGCAAAAACCCTCATGTGTATGCTTTGTAGGCACCATTAACTCCATACTAAACCCTACTTGTAATCAACCAAAGATAATACTCAGAAGTTCATATTAGAAACTCTATCCCTGCTAGTTACTACTGATTAAATGAAAAGAATATATGCTGTAGATTATATGTGAGAACTAAAAGAACTGTAGTAGAGAAAGAGATTTGTAATGGGTTTCTCCAACATGTATGTTTGGAAAGAGAGAAAGTAGATAGAAAAGAGAGAGAAAGCTTACTATGATACGCTCACAGTGAGGGCTTTGAGACTAAACAGTAAAGAGGCAAGAGAAAAGTGTGTGCCGCCCTATCACTTGTCCTATTTTCGAGTGTCTAAGTTTCACGCGATCGGCGATTGGTGGCATACACAAAAGGCTGGCCTGCTAATTTGGGCCGGGCTTGGTAGTAGAGGTCCAGTAGTGCGAAGGCTGGATGATCCAAATAGCACAAAATTCCCAGGAAAAAAAGTCCACTAATCCAAATTATAGCTATCGGTGTCATTTTGTATTTTTGTTTATTGTCGATCAATCCTGAATTTATGATTTTAATCAAGAGTAAGGTTATGTGTACTAAAACTTATACCATATGGCTATTAAATCTGTAGGTCCCATCACTGATTCAAAGTTATAACCTATCTTTTGCTTAACCAAATGTACCACTTATAGGCCATTTACAACTTATAATTCTCTTGATTCACATTTTTAGTGAAAATCATGTAAAAAAAAAATTAATGCTATTGGGATATAATTTAAATACATAATGAATTATAATCATTAAATTGATAATGTTGAGACTTGTTGATAGTATAGTGGCACAATCGTTACGTTATAATAACATTGTTCTATGAAAAAACATCTAATTTTGTGAGGGATTCATACAATATCTTAACAAGAAATAGAAAAAAAATTAAAACACAACATTAGACATTTTTTTATACAATATTGGAAAAGGGTTTGTCCTAATTAGTATCAATACTTACGTCCTAACTCGTTCATATTTGTGTCAATTGATAGTATCATTTTTTGAGTTTTTTTTATCAAAAATTGATCAATACTAACTGCTAATTTTTTGTCGTGCCAAAAATTATCATCCCCATCCTCAAAATGGATGTCACCTTGAACATTGTTCATTCACAATGTGCATTGATGTTGGACCTAGCACGAATGTAAATATATTTTTTTCCAAAAAGTATTTATTTATCCTGTATGTAATACATTTTTAAGTTTTGAATTTGGGGGAAACCTTGATTAATCTTTAATTCAAATTAATCTCCTTCTTGGTCCAATTGAAGTCAAGTAATCTACGCCATGAATGAGGTATTCATGACAGATCTATGAAATTGTTAAAATTCGAGTTCAGTACATCTGAATTTACAACTTATCTTATTACTACTTAAACTACCACTTGAGATAACTCATTCCCTTCATTGTGTTTACTATAAGGAATGAAAAGTAAAAATAATTGATTTTTTTTGTATTTGATAACATAAAAAAATAGAACGATAAAAAAATATACAAATACATATTTTACCATTGTATCTATATATAACATTAACGTGTATATAATATAATATATATATATATATATATATATTAAATAGTATAAAAATAAATAGCATACATTTTAACACACATAATTAAATTTCTATCTAATTTTCCTTTTAATTTTAGTGAGTTAGAATGAATGTTAATTCATCTAAATTTTTATTATTTTCTATTATTCTATTTTTCATAATCACAAACTTAAAAGATTAAGTTATTGTACCCACATTTATTTTTTGGGATTGTACTAAAAATTTACAGTACTTACACTCTTATCCTTCCATATTGTTTCGAATTATTTATAGTCAATTAAAAAAATTAAAATAATAAAAATATTTTACATATGTTATTTATAATTTCCAAAAAATAATAAATGTGGTACAAAAAAAATGTATAAATATGTTACCCAAATATGTATAAAACTTGAGCTCAACGCCTCACTTTCAAACAAGAAAATCATATGTTCAAGGGCTATAAAAATCACCCCGAAGTTGGAGGTTCAAATATTGGGGTTTGGTAGTTGATTGTCATACTAGCCTAACTAAGTTCGTTTCTGATAAAAATAACAGACGTGGTTAAAGATCTCATAATTCTATCAATAAGATTCAACGTGGTTTATAAGCGCTCTCCTTGCCTCCACCCCTTTTTCCTCAAGCAAAAAAAAAAAAGTCCATAAAAACCATGTAAGCTAGAAGCAAAGATAATGTGTGTGTGTGTGTGTGTGTGTGTTTATTAATATATGTGTGTGTGTTATGATTTTCTTGTTGTATTTTATTGTAATTGTGTATACATTATCGAATTTAATGTATTTTTTTAGTGTTATTAATTTATTGTGTTGGTTAATTGACACAAGTTACTAAATTGAATTGTTAAAAAATTTAAAAAAATTAATAATTAAAAGATATGTGTTCACCCTATTTATTGTCTGAATTTCTACCCATTTATTTTGGGTGAAATTTGAATACAAATAGTACACTTAGATAGTGTTTGGTAACCATTTGTTTGTGTTTTTTTCAGTTTTTGTTTTCATTTTTTTGTTAAAAAAAATACTAACGCGTTTGGAGAGTGTTTTTATTTATTTTTTTTGTTGGTCTATTTTGTTAACAACCCTAAATTTAAAAAACATCAAAATAGGTGTTTTTGAAAACACAAAAAAAAAAAAAAAGGAAAACACGCACGTCCCTTTAACCCATTTAATGAGGTATAGCCTTCGAACTCCATTAGCAGCAAAAAAAAGGATTTTTTTCATTCTCACTATAAAAAAATATTTCTTACCTCTTTTTCCTCCCCTTGTTCATCTCTTTGACTCTCGTTTATCTCTCTCACAAGGCAACGACAAAGAGCTACGGATGAGCAACAAAAGAGCCAACACTCTCTCTATCACCCTTCTCTAATGGGTTTTGTTGGGGAGTTACATGATTGAGTTTTGTGGGTGGTGGTGGATTAGGGGGTGGGTTTTAGTAGTTGTGGGAATGGGTTTCGGTTTGGTTTCAGTGGTGGGGGTGGGTTATGGGTTTCAGTGGTGGTGGGGGTGGGTTGTGGATTTTTGGTGGTGGTGGGGGTGGGTTTTGTTGGGTTTCAGACTTTCGATGGTGGGAGTGGTTAGTGGGGTTGGATGGTGGGTTTCCATTGTGGGGTTAGGTTGTGGTTTTGGGTGGTTAGTGGTGTTGGTTGGTGGAATTTGGGTAATGAATTTTTGGTATAATATCAAATAAGTTTTTTATTTTTTATTTTATAATTTTTAAAATATAAATAACTATCAAACATATTTTATATTTTTAATTTTTATCAAAAAATAAAAATAACAACGTTACCAAACGTACAATTAATTAAAAAGATTTGATCAAAAAAAATTATTCTGTAAAATATTAAAAAAATATAAAAACATAAAATATCATAAGTTTTATTGGTAAGATGAGGTGAATGCCCTCAATTACATGTAAATCTGTTGTACTTCTTATACTATATTTTAAGTCTAAAGTAGGAAAGCGGCATATGCAAATTTGGCACGTTGCCTGTGACAAGTTGGTAACGCAGCTTTTGTGTCAAACAAATGCCTTGGAGACGGAGAGTGTGGCTTCATGCATGAGTTTTTTAATTACATAACGCAAGGCTAGAAAACGGGCTACGTGTTCGATTGTGGGTAGAGAGAAGTCCAGGATTAAAGAATAATTATTGAGTGGTGTAAGGCAACACAGCGTGGCTATTTGTATACTCGACACGTGTTATGTTGGTCCCCAAAAATCTTAAGACTTCACTCAAACACGTCTCTTTAATGGCTCGGCTCGGCTTGGCTCAGACAATTTCTGACCTAATACTAATACTTTTATTTGAATTATATATATACTAGTTATAATCCGTGCTTGAAAGCACGATAAAATATAAAATTTAAGCGTTCAAAAAATCGATTTCACTATATTAATTTTTTTCAAAATATATTAACTATAAATTAATTAAATATATGATAAAAATGAGTGATGTGATATTTTTTTAAAAATAAATAAATAATTAAATATGTGATAAAAATGAGTGATGTGATTTGACGTTTGAGTCTGACAAAATAATGATGGGTGAAGTAAGTGATTGATAATGGTTTTAAGAGAAAAAATATGACTGAGATAAAATTCAAATACACTCCTATTTTATTATATAGATAGTCATAACCTGTGCCTGGAGGCACGAAAAAAAATAAAATTCGAGTGTTCAAAAAATTGATTTCACTATATTAAATTTTTTAAAAATATATTAACTACAAATTAATTAAATATTAAATAATTAAATATATGATAGAAATGAGTGGTGTGATATTTTTAAGGAGAAAATATAAAAATGATTAAATATGTGATAAAAATGAGTGATGTGATTTGAAGTTTTAGTCTGACAAAATGATGATGGGTGAGATAAATGATTAGTGATGGTTTTGAGGGAGAAAATATGACTGAAATAAAATTCAAACACACTCTTGTTTTATTATATAGATTAGTTATTGCTTGTGTCTGAAGGCAAAAAATAATAAAAAATGATAAACAATAAACATATTTGTATTTATATTCAAAATCAAATCACAAATATAGAGAAAAGATAAAAAAATTTAAACATCGATTTGTAGTGGGGGTAAGAGGTGGTGGTGGTAGGAGACGGTGATGGTTGTGGTGGGTGGTAATGACCGTGGTGGTGGTGAGGTAAGCGATGATGGTGGTTGTGGTGGCGACGACAATGGTGGTGATGGTGGCGATGACGATGGTGGTGACATCGACAATGGTGGTAGTGGGGGGGCAACAATAATGGTGGTGACGACGGGGATAGAGGTAGTGGTGGGGCGATTTTAAACACAATATTTTTTTTAAAAATATTTATGATAAATAATTTTTAGAAGTACTTTTAAAATGTTATTTCAAACACACCCTTAGGGGTCTATTTTTCTTATTAAATTTATAGTGTTAATATTAGCCGTTAAATTAACTTTAACAAAAAATTTAAAGCGATTTCAATTACAAATAGTGAAAGTTATTTTGTTTATCTTTTGAGATTTGAATTGTAAACTACTTTATATATATATATATATATAATAAAATAAGAATATGTTTGAATTTTATCCCAGTCATATTTTTCCCCTCCAACCCTCACCAATCACTTATTTCACCCATTATCTCTTTATCAGACTCAAACGTTAAATCGCATCACTTATTTATATCATATGTTTGATCATTTATATATTTATTCTCTA